TGGACTTATCCGTTGTCCTAGCACTGTCCCGGAGATCAAGGCGCGCCAGTCGAGCTCCGCTCCTGAGATAAGGCCTCGTGAACGGCCAGTCCAACTCGCCTTCAAGGTTAGTTATACATACTCAGCTATCTTTCTCCATTACATTGTGCGCGCTTCCATCAATGATTACAAATGGTAACGAGGAGTGGTGTTGCAGGCTGCTATACAAAGTGAGAGAGATAGAACGAAGAAACTTCTGGCGGAGGCGGTGGAGAGGCAGCGGGAGTTGGAGGAGAGGACGACAAAGATGTTGGAGGAGGAGAGGGCACGGAATGACATGCAGGCAAGGGCCATGTACGAGCTCCTTGTGGTAAGTTTTTTCTACACATTAGCCAAAACATTCATGTAGTGTTTGTCTCATTACTAACTAGTATGATTGAGTCGTCAAAACCAAATGTGCAGTCTGTGTGCGAGAAGTCCGTTCAGACCGCTCCGCCGATGCTAGTGATTGCTCCTGGGACCACGGTCATTTTAATTTGAATGGACATTACTTGCTAGTCTTAACATTTGAGTGTCATCATGCTAACGAGACATTGGAAATGATCTTTGGTGCAGCGTAACTCCAGACAAGCATCGCACGATCCTTCTCCAGCTACCGGCATGAGCCACCCCGCTACAACACCTCCATGATCACAGTAAGTGTCTCTAGTGTTTTGCTTAACAAATGCATAAAAACCTAGACTTAGCTTTATTTCCTCCAATATGCTTACCATAATGACTTAGAGTTAGCTTCTTTTCCTCCAAAATGACTTAATAAGCTTACTAACCTCCAAAACCATCCATCTTACCTAGGTTAGCTCCAAAATGATGCATTTTACCCAAGTTGGCTCTAAAATGACCCATTTTACCTAGATTAGCTCATAAACGATCCATTTCACCTAGGTCAGCTCCAAAATGACCCAACTTACCTAGGCTAGCTCCAAAATGACACATTTTACCTAGATTAGCTCATAAATGATCCATTTCACCTAAATTAGCTCTTAAATGATCCATTTCACCTTAGTTAGCTCAAAAACGATCCATTTCACCTTAATTAGCTAAAAAACGATCCATTTCACCTTACTTAGTTCATAAACGACCCATTTCAACTAAGTTAGCTCATAAATGATCCATTTCACCTAAGTTAGCTCAAATACAATCCATTTCAACTTAGTTAGCTCAAAAACAATCCATTTCACCTTAGTTAGCTCATAAACGACCCATTTGAACTAAGTTAGCTCATAGATGATCCATTTCACCTTAGTTAGCTCATAAACGACCCATTTCAACTTAGTTAGCTCATATATGATCCATTTCACCTAAGTTAGCTCATAAATGACATATACTTCTTGTTCTAGTCTTCTTCTTCTAGTCACCTATTTCTAACTTTCTTATTTGCCATTTTGCAGATTTCATTCACTTCATGAAAGCTAGCTTGCTATGATGGAGTGCTTGTTTTTTCTTTGATGAAACTTTGCATTGTATCTAGCTTGCTATAATGGAACTTGCTATATTGATCAAACTTTGCATTGTAATATGTATATGGATGGAACAATGTGTATGGATGGAACTTGCTTATGTATGAATGGATGAAACTTAATTATGTGTTAGATATATATGTGATATGTTTGCTATTAAATAGCCTTGTGAAATATATCTATATATGTCATATATATTTGCTGTGAAAATTGTTGGATTCAGAAAAAACAAAAAAAGCCAATATACAGGCTCTTTGTCGTCTGCCACCGACGGCAACGGCCTCTTTGCCGTCCGCCGTGGACGGCAAACAGGACATGTGGCAGCCAACTGTGCGTCCTGGGAGCTGGCCCATTTGGCCAGTTTGCCTACACTGGCAGACGACAAAAGAGTGGTGACATCATGCTGACACCATGCGGTGGACGGGAAAGGGCTGCCGTTAGCCACCTAACGGACTAACAGAGAAAATTTTGCCGTCTGCTTTCTTTGTCGTCCGCTGCGGATGGCAAAGGACCCTTTGCCGTCAGCCGCATAAAGCGGACGTCAAAGTAGCTGTTTGTCGGATCTTACTTTGCCGTCCATGTTTGCCTGCCGTCCGCGGCGGACGGCAAAGACCTTTGCCATCCGCCATTCATGCCTTTGCTGTCCGCCGTGGCAGACGGCAAAGTGATATGATATGGCCATCATCATCTTGTGCTTGTGATCTCCATCTTCGAAGCACCTCCATGATCACCATTCTCACCGGCGCGACACCTTGATCTCCATCGTAGCATCATTGTCGTTTACACTGTCTATTGCTTCTACGACTATCGCTACCGCTTAGTGATAAAGTAAAGCAATTACAGGGCGTTTGCATTTCATACAATAAAGCGACAACCATATGGCTCCTACCAGTTGCCAATAACTTCGGTTACAAAACATGATCATCTCATACAATAAAATATAGCATCACGTCTTGACCATATCACATAACAACACGCCCTGCAAAAACAAGTTAGACGTCTTCTACTTTGTTGTTGCAAGTTTTACGTGGCTGCTACGGGCTTAGCAAGAACCGTTCTTACCTACGCATCAAAACCACAACGATAGTTTGTCAAGTTGGTGCTGTTTTAACCTTCGCAAGGACCGGGCGTAGCCACACTCGGTTCAACTAAAGTTGGAGAAACAGACACCCGTTAGTCACCTGTGTGCAAAGCACGGCGGTAAAACCAGTCTCGCGTAAGTGTGTGCGTAATGTCGGTCCGGACCGCTTCATCCAACAATACCGCTGAACCAAAGTATGACATGCTGGTAAGCAGTATGACTTGTATCGCCCACAACTCACTTGTGTTCTACTCGTGCATATAACATCAACGCATAAAACCTAGGCTCGGATGCCACTGTTGGGGAACGTAGTAATTTCAAAAAAAATCCTAGGCACACGCAAGATCATGGTGATGCATAGCAATGAGAGGGGAGAGTATTGTCCACGTACCCTCATAGACCGAAAGCGGAAGCGTTATGACAACGCGGTTGATGTAGTCGTACGTCTTCACGATCCGACCGATCCAAGTACCGAACGTACAGCACCTCCGAGTTCAGCACATGTTCAGCTCGATGACGATCCCCGGACTCCGATCCAGCAGGGTGTCGGGGATGAGTTCCGTCAGCACGACGGCGTGGTGACGATGATGATGTTCTACCAATGCAGGGCTTCGCCTAAGCACCGCAACGATATGACCGAGGTGGAATATGGTGGAGGGGGGCACCGCACACGGCTAAGGAACGATCACGAAGATCAACTTGTGTGTCCTGGGGTGCCCCCCTGTCCCCGTATATAAAGGAGGGAGGGGGGAGGTGCGGTCGGACCCCTAGGGGTGCGCCTGGAGGAGTCCTACTCCCACCGGGAGTAGGACTCCCCCCTCTTGCCTTGTTGGAGAAGGGAGGGGGAAGGGAGAAAGAGGAAAGGGGGCGCCCCCCTCCTTGTCCTATTCGGACTAGGGGGAAGGGGGCGCACGGCCTGCCCTGGCCGGCCCTCCTCTTCTCCCTTATGGCCCATGTAGGCCCATTAACCCCCGGGGGGTTCCGGTAACCCCCCGGTACTCCGGAAAAATCCCGATTTCACCCGGAACGATTCCGATATCCAAATATAGGCTTCCAATATATCAATCTTTATGTCTCAACCATTTTGAGACTCCTCGTCATGTCCGTGATCATATCCGAGACTCCGAACAACCTTCGGTACATCAAAAATTATAAACTCATAATAAAACTGTCATCATAACGTTAAGCGTGCGGACCCTACGGGTTCGAGAACCATGTAGACATGACCTAGAACTGTTTCCAGTCAATAAACAATAGCGGAACCTGGATGCTCATATTGGCTCCCACATATTCTGCGAAGATCTTTATCGGTCAGACCGCATAACAACATATGTTGTTCCCTTTGTCATCGGTATGTTACTTGCCCGAGATTTGATCGTCCGTATCCAATACCTAGTTCAATCTCGTTATCGGCAAGTCTCTTTACTCGTTCTGTAATACAGTATCTCACAACTAACTCATTAGTTGTAATGCTTGCAAGGCTTAAGTGATGTGTATTACCGAGTGGGCCCAGAGATACCTCTCCGACAATCGGAGTGACAAATCCTAATCTCGAAATACGCCAACCCAACAAGTACCTTCGGAGACACCTGTAGAGAATCTTTATAATCACCCAGTTACATTGTGACGTTCGGTAGCACACAAAGTGTTCCTCCGGTAAACGGGAGTTGCATAATCTCATAGTCATAGGAACATGTATAAGTCATGAAGAAAGCAATAGCAGAATACTAAACGATCAAGTGCTAAGCTAATGGAATGGGTCAAGTCAATCACATCATTCTCCTAATGATGTGATCTCGTTAATCAAATGACAACACATGTCTATGGTCAGGAAACATAACCATCTTTGATCAACGAGCTAGTCAAGTAGAGGCATACTAGTGACACTCTGTTTGTCTATATATTCACACAAGTATTATGTTTCCGGTTAATACAATTCTAGCATGAATAATAAACATTTATCATGATATAAGGAAATAAATAATAACTTTATTATTGCCTCTAGGGCATATTTCCTTCAGGTACTTCTCTCGGGGAAAAGGAATAGTAATATTTATGTTGTTCACTGGAAAAAAAATTCCCGGGCTTTCAATAAAGGTTGATGTTTTGATCTCCAGACATAGAAAATATACAATGCCACCTCTTTATGTTTTTAGTGTTTTTATTTACTAGCATTGTGTTTCGCTTCAAGATTCAAAGAACAACAGATGCACTGTGAGACTAATATGCTCAGAATTTGCAAAGAGCCTAAGACATACTCAACATTTTTCTTAGCTAAGATAGTTATGAAAAAAGAGACTTTGTTAATCAGTACTGAAATGCATAACACCTTGCTAGAATCTTATTTTTCGTTGTATATAATGTTTACAACATGTTTTTTATTTTTTTCGAGGTCATAAATTGCTTGGAAAAATGCAACATCGATGCTAGAATCCCGAGGAGACTATGGCCGGTGGTGGAGATTATTTTGTATGCTGACGGTGGCGGCTACACGGCGGAGGCCTGCACACTCGACTTCGACATTGCCATCTTCAACAAGAAGGTCTCCTTCGCCGGCCAAGATCAGGTTCGCACCTGCACTCCCGTTCCCATTCCTTCTTCCTCTCCCGGAATTGGTTTCTGATGTCTTTTGTTTTGTGTGTGCCTCTGCAGTATATGGTGGCGGGCTGGCGGAACCTTTTCCCACTGCTCCCGGAGGCGTCAAGGGCGTCAAGCCCTCCGCCGTGATCGGATGGGGCTCCCAGGTTCATTTCCAGCTTTGCTTTGCTTCCTCACTGTGCAGTTTCTCTCCTATCTGTCCAGATTTGCTATGCCTCTCTCTACTGTTATTCTACTGAATATTGTTCTTGGAGCATCAAAGCAAATTGCTTGACTGGTAAACATGTGTAGGAGGATTCGTTGTTTAGCGTTATTAGACCTCTATAAATACATGTATAGGAGGATTCTTGGAGCTTTGTACAAATAGTAAGGCCATCAAAGCTAATTGCTTTACTGGTGAACATGTATAGGAGGATTCTGCTGAAGCTGTGATTTGTACCGAGTTATATTGAGTCCACCCATCGGCCCGTGCACTGAGTCCACCCATCGCGCCGTGCACCCGTCTCCTTCCTTCCTTTACTCCCTCCCCGCACCCACTCCCGGATCTCATCTCATCTCACACAGCCAGCCCACATCCCAGATCCGAACCCTACCCAACCGCCGCCCCAGATCCGCCGCCGGCGATGGCGTGCCTCGCGATCTCCCTGCAGCCGGTGAACGGCCCGGACATCCTCCTCCAGACGCGCTCCTGGTTCCCGGTCTCGCGCGCCCTCGCCGCCGTCTCCGCCTTCCGCCTCGCGCGCCTCAGCCTCGCCCGCGGCAAGCAGCAGCACGCATCCCTCGACGCCATCGGCGACGACCCGCTGGCCACGGGGTCGGGGCAGCTGGTGGTGGGGGTCGAGTCGCAGTACCGCGTCGTCTACCGCCTTGTCAACTCCATCTACGTGCTCGGCGTCACCACCGCCTCCGACCACGCCGCCCCCGCCGTGCACGCCTTCGCCGTCGCCGACGCCGTCAACCAGGCCGTCTCCGTCCTCGTCGCCGCCTGCCGCGGCGTCGACGCCACCCCCGACAAGGTCCACCGCAAGTACCCCGAGGTCTACCTCGCGCTCGACCTCGTCCTCCACGGCGTCGGCTCCGTCCGCCTCTCCCAGATCCTCGCCACCATCCATGGCGACAACCTCGCCCGCATGGTCAACTCCTCCCCCGACGCCGAGGCCCGCGCCCGCGGCGCCGACTCCTGGCCCGTCGTCGAGCACCTCGCGCAGGACCGCCACGCCGCCCGCGACGGCTTTGCCGCCGCCTCCTTCGAGCTCCCCCTGGAGACCCTCTCTGCCGGCGACGAGTTCTCCGCTTCCAGCCTCGCGCCTGCGGTTGCTGCGGCAACTGGGGATGAGCCGCCGCCTGAGGAGGCGCCCCCCATTGAGAAGGACCCCTTTGCGGCCAGCGACATGGTCGTTAGCAAGCCAGAGGAGGCCTTGGTCGGTGCGTTCAAGAAGAACAAGGAGACCGCCCTTGTGGTTGCTGATCCTGCTGCTGCGCTTGCTGGGTTGGAGGTCACCACTCTGCCGCCAGCTGAGGCCACTAAACCAACATTCATTGGTGTCGAAGGATTTGAGGGCGACTATGGTGGAATTGAGTTTGGTAACGAGGAAGCTTCACTGGCTGAGGCATTCGAAGGCTTCAATGCGCCATTTGGTGGTGGGCTAGATGCTTCTGAGTTTGTTACCACAACCAAGAAGGATCACAAGGACAAGACCCTTACTGGTCTTGAGATTCTAGCCATGAGTGGTGGGCAGGCACCGAATGCAGTTTCTTCTGGTTCGCCACTCGACAGCTTGGTAACCCCGAGCAAAGATATGACCGTGCCTGAGTTGTGCATCGTGGAGGAGATCAATGCTGAATTCAAGGAGTCTGTTCTTGCACGGGTTGGTCTGAAGGGTACAATCATTTTGCGGACCTTACCACCAAAGAAGGCAGCAGGGAGGGAGACAGAGTTCTCATTCCGGCTTGAGGGTACTTCTGGAATGAAGAGGGCCGCCTTGCAGAGTACCGTGTTGAGCAGCCTCGAGAACGGCCTCTTCCATGTGAAGACACCATCGAAGGAGGAGCCTATCCCCATCATGAAGTACAGCTTCCTGCCAAAGCACTCACCTCTCCCCCTGAGGTTGCGCCTTGTAAAGCGCCACAGTGGTACATTGCTCTCGCTGATGATACACTATGCGTCGAACCCAATGTTGCCGCAGCCACTGAGCAATGTTACATTCATTGTTAAGCTTCCTGTGGATCCGACTCTGCTTAATGTTTCGCCCAAGGCTGTGTTGAACCGGGCAGAGAGGGAGCTCAGGTGGCACATCTCAGACATTCCTCTGAAAGGTCCTGCTGGCCGGTTGAGAGCACGGATGCCTGTAGATCAAGACTCCAAAGATGGTGAACTTGAGGTTGTTGGAATGGTGAAGTTTGCTTACCAAGGGCCATTCACTTTGTCGGGCATCAAACTCTGCCCAGCCATCAATAGCACTGCCCAATTTAATGAAGTTGGCCACACCTTCTCCAGCGGGAGCTACCGTTGCATCTGAGTTGGTACCTTCTTTGTACTGTAGCCGTTTACTTTACCCCTTTTTCAGTTTGCTTCTACAACAGGGTGTGAATTTCATATTTGTACGTATATGTTTTGTGAGGCTGGAATTTAAACCATGTTTTTGAGTTGTGATTATTCATCAAGGCTGCATAATCTTTTGCAAGTTTCGTAATGGATGCATAGAAGAACATGTACTTCTGCTCATTCTGGATGGAAACAAAAACAGTAGTTCTGCTACGACCTTTAGTAATTATATACTCCCTCCATCCAGAATTACTTGTCGCATAAAGGGATAAAACCTGATGTATCTAGTACTAAAATACATCTAGATACATCCTTTTCTCCGACAAGTATCTCCCGACGGAGGGAGTATTCACTATTGAAAGCCATCATCACCTCAGTTTTTTTTTTAGAATAAGGGAGGAGAGGATCCCCCCTGGCCTCTGCACAAATGCCCAGATTATTTGTTTCGGTGTATCAGCATCGGTTTCGTCTGGTGTGATCGGCAGCCTAAACTAAATAGAGAATCAGGAGTACTTCAGTTGGCATTGCAACTGATTTGTTTGCTTTCAAGTTGAAAAGCTTGCAAGTTTGGTCCTGAGATGTTTAGCATATATCCTTTTTCTCATTATCTTCCAACTGTACCATACATATTTCATTTTCACTTTCTGTTGATAGGTAACTGACTTATTCACGGAGACTTTGGTTATGGTATTTTATTATACAGATTCAAACATAGTTTCTGCTGTTTAACCAAATTAAAGAGTGAGGTAGTAATTGCTCTCATGTGAAAGCTTTGCCCCTTGTGTTCCTTTGATCCATCATTGACCTTTGTATTATTTTATGACACACAGGTTACTCTTTTCATTCCCTACACAGGTTGTCTCAAGGATAGTGCATATCTGCAAGACATTAGACATTAGACATCGACATCTGTATCGGGAAAAGATTATGTCAAGTACACGCTCTATTTACTTGCTGCGTGACTCGAAAGTTTCTCTTGTAGCACCATGGTAATCTGGATGGTTGAACTCGAACCCATCTTTTGCTCTCCAAGGGTATGAATTTGACAACTCCCCTATCATTGGAATGTGGTTTTGCCCCTGGTTTTAGAAAGCATCAAAGGGGAAAACACTTGCATAACTTTAGGTTCATTAATTCTGCATTGTATATCAGTATGATGCATGCCTTAGTTTTCTTTGCATGATTGAGATTAAGCAATGATAATGTGCATATCTTATACTCCCTCTGTAAAGAAATATAAGACCTTTTAGATCACTAGACTTTTTAGATCACTACTCTAGTGATCTAAAAAGTCTTATATTTCTTTATAGAGGGAGTAGTATGCTGAAAATTAAATTTACCAATTCAATGGTATTAACTTTAATATGATATTCTGTCACTCTGGCATGCTGCTACTGTGTTGGTAATATTTAAGAAAATAAATTTGGAAGGGTCCTCTGTTAGATATATGTCCTTTGTGCAGTTTAAACTTCCAAGCTTCCTATTTTCGAATCATGCAGAACTTTATTGCGGCCATACAACAATATCGTTCTTTATTTTTAGCAAATAAAGCTATCCGATTACATCTCGGATAAATGGCTTCCAAATATTCTCTCAAATAGCTGCTCAAACTTTTTGTGCATCCGAATGTAACGTACCAATTATCTTCAAGATTGTCCTGTATTATTCTTCAGTTGTATTCACACTTCAGTGTCAATGAATATATACCTAGAACAAGGGCTGATGAATGTTTACAAGTCTTTTAGGTGCTAATAACTACTCTCTCCGTCCCATAATGTAAGACGTTTTTTGGCACTATACTAGAGTCAAAAAACGTCTTACATTATGGGACGGAGGGAGTAGGAAACTACAATCTTCAATTTTTACGTATCTATACTTTGTGCGGGCCTGTTGTTGATTTTTGAGGTTTTGGGCGTGCGTTTTCCCATCATACTCTGTTTTTTCTTTCTGTGGTGTGATGTTTGTAGAGAGAGGCTGATCTGGATGATAATAACTACAGTAGAACTTGACTCGGTGGTGAAATAAATTAATCTTCTTGCTGAGGCATTCCTTACTTTGCTTTGGCTGTAGCAAGCAGTTGTACATATATGTATCTTGCGCCTCTGCAGATGGATTGTATTTTGTTCCTTGCATGGTTCCTTGTACTCCTATTTATATATATGATGGGTTGAAACTTTGCTGTATTCTTTCAGCTTACACTAAATTGCGCAGCTTATATTATCTTTTATGGCATTTTTTTTTGCTTCTTGTTGGGGAGTAACCGCGTTGTCGATGATGGTATTGAAGTTGAACTGATGGTGATGGGAGTGTGGAAACATGAACTCCCATTACCTGTAATTGGGGTGGAGAAAAGGGAGAGTGTAATCCAGCAAGAAAGGGACGAATCAACTGAAAGAGTTGAGATCGGAGATTTTTCGTCACCTGCCGAATCGATTTGACAAAAAAGACCATCTCTGGATCAAAGTGACAAAAGAGACCCCTTCATCGTGGCGGCAGGCGCGCCAGGCAACATGTGGGGTGAGGCGGCCGGGTCGCTGCCACAGGATTCCGGGCCAGGCCGGGATCGAAACGGAAACATGAATGGTGGGCCACGCCGCCAGCATATGAGACGGCCTGCACTGTAGCTGCAAAGGGTGGGCCATGCCGCCACGGCTTGTGGCGGCCGCACTGCGCTCTCGCCAACAGCCTCATATGTAGTTAATTGGTGTTTATGCATGCGATTTGATGCA